AAAAAAATACAAATAAAAATAAAAATACAAATAAAAATACAAACACAAACACAAAACGGGGCGAGGCGAGGCGACGCGACGCTTTATTGAGCAATTTTAGCTAGAATTTATTTTTGTTTTTCTATGGAAACATTTTGTGTGTAAAGGCAAATAAATGGAATATAAAACATGCTCTAAGCTGAGCCAAAAATTGTGTCTATCAGTCAAATATTTAATATGCTAATTGCCAGTGCAAATATCGCGCATACGCCTAGTTGAACAATTTGCATTTAAACGAATGAGCTGCAAAAAATAAATATCAACGAAAGTGTCAGCTATAAATTCAACGGGCGTGACATGTGGGTGAATTCACCTGCAACCTCCTCCCCCCTCCACCCACCTGCACCCCTGCCCCTTACCCCCTCAATGATATTTATGGCATATGGAAGCACGGGCAGCTCTCTAATTCATTTAGCAGCAATTCCAGCACAAAAACCAACGAACAAATGACACCTTGTTAGGGGTTTGACTTATGGTCTCTTTTTATTTTCAAATGTGCCTGTACGTGTGTGTGCGTGTGTGTGTGTGTGTGTGGTTTTTAGCTGGAAATATAGCAACTAGGTGTTAATTTTGTTTGTTGTGCGCTGCGTCTAAGAAGAACAAATACTAAAAGCTAAGAAACACACTCGTTTAAAATGAAAATTAACAAGACATGCGGGCATTTATTGTCAAGGAGGGAGGCGACACACAAAGAACAAGTGGAAATTTAAATGGAAATTAGTTTGTGTGTGTTTGTGCGCTTGACAAAGTAATTTATGTAAATAAATAAAATGAATTTGAGAATTAGATTTGCAAAACATAAAGACCGCGACGCGAGCTCTATGAGATTATAGAATATAAAAATAAATTTAATTTAAAAATTCTTGAATTGAAATTAATTGTAATAATATTTGCATAAACATTTTAAAGTAAACTGAATAAATGAATGCTAGCGCAATATTCTGCTGGAATCTAGGAAAAACACAAATATTTCATAAACTCAACAAGTAAGACTGACTGTGAGATACTCCAGCTTTTTGAGGACCTTAAGTATATATAAATAAGTAAAGAGCACGAGTCCAACATGCTCCCTTTTTTTTTTTTGATTTTTGGAACGAGTTCATAAAAGTGCAACATTTTAATATGCCTTATATAGGAAAGCATTTAATTAAAACAGGCCCTGTAGGGGGCAGGAGGAGCACGCTGGCCGCTTCTTCATTAACTGCCGATTCCGTTGAAATCAGTTAACAAAACCGGAGAATAAACATGCAGAAGAAAGGAGGCCCTGAGAGTTGATATGCTCGCGCTGTGTATATAAAATGAAATGCCCAAGTTTAAGCAGAACTGAGGAAAGAGCTGCAACAGGAGCAGGGCAATTCACGGAGTCGAGAGTCGCAGTCGGAGTCAGAGTCAGGCATCATTAATTCTCACCCAAGTGTGCGCGGGACGGCTGCTGCGACTGGAGAGCCTGCTCCAGCTGCTTGAGATCTGTGCATATTTCCAATTAAAGCAACTTGCAACTCTAATGAACTTGAAGATATCAATCTACGCGCTGTTAACCCTAAAAACCGCAGACAGACGGCCGAAGCCAACGGAAAATCAGCACGAAAAAAACCGAAAAAAAACAAAGGCAAACGAAAAAATAAATGTCAAGCTAATTAAAATGAAGCTGGGTAAAGAGAGCGAGAGAGAGAGAGGGAAAGAGAAAGATAAGTTGCAGCATGCATTGAGGCATGCCATATAATTCATAAAAATGTATCTCACAGATGCGAGGCAGCTAAAAAAGAATAATGTGTGTATCTATGTGTTGCCTTAGACGAAACCAAATTAATTTAAATGATGCCCAAAAATAGCCAGAATAGACACGTGTGCGTGTATGTGTACATGTACAGTTAACTGCACATGTATCCAACAGATACGCATCTCTAGGCTGCATTCACACACACACACACACACACACAGATATAGCTCACGCACATGTTGTGTGCAAAGGAAGCGCGTTAAAACAAACAAAAACATATTTTTCTTATAAACAGACGAAACGAAATGAAATTATTTTATTTTCAGGCCGACGCAGTCTACACGCCAGGTTCTTTTGTATCTGTATCTGTTGCTGTTGCTGTTGCTGTATCTGTATCTTTCTCTCGCTCTCCGCATCGAAACATAATTAATTTTTGTTTGTTTAAGGTCTGGGCCTGGTCTGTCTGTTGCTTCCTGCGACGATGAGTGCTATTTGTTTTTGCTGTTCTGCTTCTTCTTCTGCATCTTGTTGTTGTTGTTGTTGTTGCTGTTTTTTTATCATTGCCAACTCCTTGAGCTTCATTGGAATTTCAATTTGAAAGATACAATACATATTCATTGTCGTCCTCCAACGCCGCACGCTGAGCATTTCAATTTTTAGTCATAAATTTTCGCCAATGTCATAAATTAAACATTTGGAAACAGATACTTTTTGCCATTTGGTTTTTGTTGTTTTTAATGCACGTTTTGTCGAACGCATATTGTTTATATGCGCCTTCAATTGACGTCGTTGACATGCGGCAGCACAGACAGACAGACGGGCAGACAGACAGACATTTTGCCATAAATTATGCGCTTAATTAATTGGCCTGCCTGCCCAGAGTCGCCCATTTAATTAGCCAAGCCAGAGACCAACAAGTCACACAGAGCTCCAAGCACTCCAATCAGAAGAATCTGATCTCAGCTTCTTTTGGGCTGTGGCAGGTTGTTTTCGCTGGCTTTGTCTAGATTTCTTTTGAAATATATCTTTTATGTGCCAGTCACATTTGAATTCAAATTTCGTTTCGCATATTTCGCGGAATTTGATTTGTTGTTAAAGCTGTTTTTCTTTTTATTTCTTGTATTTTTTGGCACACAGATAAAAACAGACATGATTTATTTGAAGCGCATGACAATATGAAGATCTGCTGATCATAATCTATAAACTATGCGCATAATCATATGTCAAATAACATTTGGCGCTTGGCAGGAAAATTTAGAACTATCTGTGATAAGATGATGTCTATCTATGCGAATTCCCCAGTTCTTAAGTCAAGTTTTATGAATTGGGTTTTTTTTTTTTTTTGTAAAGTGGAATCTGATTATTTCGAACTGGTTTCTTTGAAATAAACTGAAACTTATTTACATGTTGCTTTTAAAAAATATGAATAATATAAACATAGAAATTAATGCCATACAACATTATTAGACACTCAAGTATTTTATTAGCTTGGGCCTCGCCTTCAGATTCAATTCCCGCTTTTCGATAGATATTATCTAAGTGTTGGTTCGAGTTTTGGTTCTTCGTTCTTTCATATTCAATTGGAATTGGTTTACAGTCCAATTGTTTCGATCTAACCCAAAATCGATCTAACCAAAGTCTTTTACTAAGACTTGCAATTGTCAAAGACTTGTTTCTCAAGCTCTATAATATCTTTCAAGTAGTTCGGCAATTGCTTCAGAGGCGCCATTTTTCTTCTCTTTCCGTTTTTTTGTGTTTTAATTAAACAAAAGCGCAAACGTTTATAATTAAAAAATTGTCATTTTATTGTCGTTTGCTTAACTTTATCAACGGCTCTCGATTTATTGCTTGCTTTTGTTGGTGTTGTTGTTATTTTGTTTTCGCTGTTACACTAGAGATTACACCTGGCAAATTGAAGGCACAGGAGGCAAATCAAAGGCGGCGGCGGCCCGTCTCTCTCCCCGTGTGTATGTGTGTGTGTGTGTGTGGGTAGAAGACAAAAGATACTATTGTCATTGTCATTCTCATTGTTGTTGTTGCTGTTCGACTTATCTGCAAGCACTTGGTTAGGCAAATCTTGCGTGACACCCACACAGATACAGCCACAACTACAAATGCGGCAACCGCCGCTCGCAAGTATCTGTATCTGTATCTGACTTGTGTTTTTTTTTTATATAGAGTTCTTCTATTTTTTTTTTGTCGCGCGCTGATTAAACTTGCATTATGGCGTACAAAGAGTGCCGTTAAAGCAAATACAACAACAAACAAGGGGCGTCTTTAATAAGAAATAAAAACAAAAAGTTAATTAAATTGTAAGCGTAGTTCCTGCCCCTCGTTGCCCCCTCATCTACATCTTCAGCTGCTACTCCTTCGCCAGAGACAAACTCTTGGCACACGCAACTTCTTCATCATCCGCGGCGTTGCCCTTAATCCCATGGCGTGATTAAAGTAGTCCAAAGTGCCTCTCCCTTTCTTCCACTCTCTCTCTCTCTCTCTCTCTCTCTCTCTGACTCTCTGTCTATTTGCGTTTTCCCCTGCCCTGGTTTTTCCTGTTTGGAAAGCCGCTTGTTTACCCGCGCGGCGCGGGCTGCCGCGTTTTGAAGTGTGGCGTCGTCCCCCGAACTGTAGGAATAGCTACTTCAATTGTCTCTGCGTCTATGTGCTGCCCATTCCTTGGGCTCAGTTCTGCTCGGGCCATTCATTAGCTAAATATTAACATATTTGCCCGGGCGGCACATAACTCAGGCCACAATTTGGGCAGCTTAGCCCCCGTTCCACAACCCTTTTTTCTAGCCGCCACACTTGACTCGCAGCCCCAACCCCAATTCGAGCACATTCTTTGGTTTAGACTGTAAATTATGTCGCATTACTGCTTGTTTTTTTTTTTTTTTTTTGCTTTTTAATTTTTTTGTCCATTTTATTTGCCAGTTTTTCACGCCATTTTCTTTTGTGCCTGTCACGACATAAATCAGTCGAGCAGCAAAGTTTTGCGAGTCGCTTCTAAATGCCGGGCTCATCGGCTTTAATGCTTATTTCATAATTAAGTTGTCTTGTTTTAATAATTTCTAATTAAAAATTTATAAACATTTTTTTATGAGTTGGGTAAACAGAGATTTCGTTATATATAAGTAGTACATCATGATGATTATATATTGAGTTTGCTTTGCTTAAGCTTATCCAATATAAACTTTTGACAAGTTATCTAATTTCTCTTGCCTGTTTTCTTGGCATCTCATTACAGCTGAGCACATTTTGTGCTAGGACAATTTAAATAATAGCAACAACAACAACAACGGAATGGAAAAAATGGTGAGTTAAGATGTTTTTTCAATTACTCGAATCTATTATGAACCGTGTCTGTCAGACTTTTAGACTTGGGACTTAGATGAAAATGAGTCTCAACTAAAACAAGAGCAGACAACTCGAGTCCTAAGCTCAGCTGGCTTCTCGAGAATCTGGAACTTTACCATAATTTGGTTGTCTTAATTAAAAAAGAGCGGTCGGCCTTCTCGCCTGGCACAAACTGATGAAGTGCTCTGCTTGAATCCCTTGCAATCCCTCAGTCATAATCTAGCTGTCGTGTGCAATTGCATCTTACTTGAGATTTCTTGAAGCTGGACAACTTCGTGTTTGCAGTCAAAAAAAAAAAAATAAAAGGGAAAGAAGAAACTTGACCTTAGTTAACAGCTGCTGCCCCTTGGCTACTTCAATGCGCTTAGTTTGCCACAGAATGCGCCAGAGCATGAGAAGCTGCTGGAAAAAAACGCCTGACCCTGTGCAATTGACCATCGTCGTCGTCGTCGTCGTCGTCAGATACTTTTCAACGCCAATTTTGCACTTCAAAATGCGGCATCCTGGCTGTGGCAACTCTGACTGTGGCTATGGCAACTGTTGCCGTGGGCGACGCATTTCAGACGCGACTTGTTGCCCCATTGTTGGGGCTACCCTTTGCAACAACAGCGCGAGCAAAATACATTTTCTGCCTGCAGCCCGATTCCAGCTTCAGCTCCAAGTCGAAGTCGAGTCGCGTAGTCTCTGTTTGAGTCTCTGGGCTTTCTCGTCCCGTCCCGTCCTGTTTCGTCTCGTCTCGTCTCGTCTCGTGCATATCTCTTGCCACTTTAAACTTAACGAGCTGTTGACTTCTTTCTGTTCGCCGACAGCTGAGTGCAGGGGCATTCACTACTCTCCGGCCCAACTCTTCGCCCTTTCTCTTGTGCCTGCCTGCCTGGCATCTTCATCATTTAGCAGGTCTTGCCTTTAATGCAAAATATCCTTTAGCTGTGTTTGGATTTTGTATTTTTTCGCTCTCTGCACGTCTGTCTCTCTCTTTTTGGCAGGCGTTTCAATCTAGTTAGCATGCCTAAACCTTATACCCTGCCCCATCTACACATCGGCCCTGGGCTTAGTTTCTGTTCAGGTTGTTTCTCTGTGCTCTGGCTTGAAACTTGTCTGGCCATCTGGCGCTGTTTTTGCTGTTCTTGCTCGGGCTGAGCTTTTGTGGCTTATTCGGCTGCCGCAGACGCTATCGAAATGTTTTTGTAATTAAACATGAGAATATTTCCATAAATGCTTTTCAATTTCAGGCAATACACATTGCCTTGTTGTTGTCTTGTTTACTAAACTTTGTACAAAAATAAATGAAACTTACAAAAATACAATAATTAATTAAATATGCCGAACATGCCTCCCGATACTCTATACCCGATGCAGTGCAGCTCTCTCAGCATGTGGCGCTGCCTTTTTTAGTCCCAGCCTCGACATGAGAAGTTGATTTTTACTGTTAATTGAATTATAATTGTGCACGTCGCCCCCCTCTCATCTGCTGCTGGCTCTGTTAAAATTGATCACGAACCATGTCGAGCAGTCAATCAATGTTCAGAAAAGAGTATTTCCATAATTCTTGTCGATTTATTGTTTATTCAGCATTTGGGCTGGGCCTTTAATTAGAAATGCCACTGAGGTAGGCTAAATGGGCGCGGCCCAGAATAAAGGGTGTGGTTAAATGCCCTGCAAAGATCTCAATTGAGATTTTTTCAATAAACAGTTATCGATCTGAGAAATTAATATGTGTGACTATTATAATAATGTAATATTGATAAATATTTATAATGCCAACTGTTTTTTTATATAATTCATAACTATTAAATTTGGTTATTCCCAGAACCCATTGAATATAGATAAAAATCGATTTAAAACATGAGCTAGATAAACTTTACTTTTGCTTTACACAATTTGGAAATATTTCATATATACCCACCAAATTTTAAAAGCCAACGCTCTTTTGTATTAAAGTTAGAGCCTTGTACACATGCTTGTCATATTTCATAAATATCAGACTTTAAACGCCGAAGTTAATCAAGTATGAATTTCCTATATACAGTATGTGGGATTCGAGCAATGAGCCCTACTGAGTTACTCAGAGAGCTCGGGGAACTGGAAAAATTCTTAAATAATTACTAAAGAAAGATTACTTGTCAGTATACTGTGAAAACCCTTCTCTGCTTTCCTCTCTCTGAAAATTTCATAAAAATGTATTTGATACCTCGGGGCAAAGCACATTATAATTCACTAAGGAGAATACTTTTTCTCCTCCCCTCTCCCCCTCTCTTTCTCTCTCTTTCATTTAACTGAAAGTTCCATAAAAATATATATATTTTACCTCTGGCCCAGGCACATAATATTCACCATTAATGAGATGTACAAATAAATTGGGCTTTTTTCGGGTTTATCTAATTTTGATGACAGCACTTAGAATGTTTCCCACGAGATGCAGGTTTGGCCTAGTAGAAAGAAGTTCTCTCGACGTTTGCTACTCTCACTTGCCATTACATCGTTTAATGTCCCATATGACATCTGGTGCGGCCATTACCTGACATTAATTGACAATGTGCGACGGCAGTAAAAAGCCCGGCATAGCAAAACTTTATGGCTAATATAAAAAAGTGTCGAAAGTTGGCAGCAAGGCTGACTCATAAAAGCTGCCAAGATATTAGACAAGATTCCGATAGCCGGATGGCTGAGGCGCAGCTATCGAATTGCCAAAATACTCCGAATGCGAGCATGTGGCAAGCTGCCATAAAAACTGCCCTGCCGTCTGCTTCAGGGCTAATGAAGCGAGTTGGCGAATTGGCGACATGGCCAGAACGCTGCTTGATAAATAGATCTGTCAAGGCTGCCTGATACCTGCAAGAGCTATGCTGTTGGAACGTTTCAATTGAAACGCTTCGATGGCGTCAATGTAAACAAAAGTGGGCCAAAGAAGCGTTGAGCGTTCGAGGCACGCACCGAAAGTGCCCCAAGACAATGAGGTGGGAGGGGGTTGGGCGGGCAGTGTATAGAGCTGAACCACCCGTCGGTTCGACGCGTATTCGAATGGAGTGCGTGCATCATCATCATCCAGAATTCAAACATTGAACATCCCTTGGCGCTGTTTCCGCCCAGCGATTTGCTGATTGCTTTGGCTGTTGAAATGCGCTTGAAAAAATAAACCAAAACTCAGGGAGAACGCATAAATTATTTGCAGCCTGGGGTGCGGGCAAATTAAGGTGACCATATGTGGCCGCAGGGCCAGGCCAGGCGCACCCGACGGGGTCTCGAGCAAGTGAAGCAAGAAAAACAGTACATAAAATCAACAAACAGCTACGAGAAAAGATCCGAGTTGCGAGATGCGAGACGGGAGAGAAAAAAAAAACAACAACATATGAAATGCGTTCGAATGGAATTCTGGCTAGCATTTGCTAGCGTGTTTCAAATAAACTTCCAAATGCATAAATAGTTTACAACAATAACAGCACCTACAAAAACAACAACAACAACAACAAGAGCAGGAACAAGTGCTGCTGCCTGCACTTTGCAACACACAAGAATGCAGCAGGAGCGTGTGGGCCGCATCTATTTTAAAGAACTGCCCGCGTCTGCCCCTGTGTACGGCCTGTTGCCGGGCTGATGCCAAGAGTTCATTGCATTTGCCAGCCAGTTCAGATCGCCTACGCTACCTCGCACCACCACGCCCACCCCTCGTTTCTGCCCGCCCCACTACTCTGCTCATTTAACGCTTCGATGAGAGCACGTCTGGCCATTTTGGCAATGGGCGCAGCCACAGCGGGCAAAATATGTTAAATCAAAAGTCGAACAAGCAAGCCAAAAGGCAAACAATTGCTGTTCAATTGCGCAGCATCGATAAACTGATATCGATTACAACAATGCGCAAATTATCGAAAAACTATACGAGCAGCTGGATTGCAATATTTTGCAGCACTAGACATTTTTGAGGTATGATAAGTATAATATATAAAATCTGTTTTCCCTATATTATATACACATATATTAGAAATACAAGTTTACCTATTTAATTAAATCGCAATATGCAAGCTTAAAGCATTCGGCTTGATAAGTTTTGCAGTTTGGAAGTGTTATTTTTATGAGTTTGGAATTTTCCAGCACTGGAAATTTAATTGGCATTGCTTAACACGAATTTTAATTAATATTAAACGACCTTTGAAATGTATAGTTTTTAGGCAAGTTGTGTGCGAATCTGAAAGCAAATTATTGTATTCAGAAGCATTCTGCTTGCAACAGTTGTTCCAACTGCCACAAATGGCAGCTCGTAGCCTTAACTTGTGTTTAAGTAGATCTTAACTAAACATAGTAGTTAATTGCATACTTAGTAACTCATATCTACACAATGCGTTTCTTCGCTTTGTTGGCTACAGTTTGTTTTTCTTTTAATATTAAATTGCTTATCAAAATGCATATTTCCAGAGGCATAGTTTAAACTTAAGTTCCCTGGAGTAGATATATTATATTTCTTTTTATTGCTGACTAGAGGATGGGGTGGGGTTTGAGCCCCGGCTAGAACTCAGCATTGTTTGTTCCCAGTTTCAAACTAATGCTCAGCATTTCGATTGCTTTTATCTGTTTTGACTTCAATTAGCATATTTTTAACTATGGCTGGCTGGGAATAAGCCAGCACACACAGCTGCTTTTGCTGCTCTCTACGAGTTTACAATGTACTCGAAATAATTTCATACATGAGATTTGTCGGCACAGCCGTGTGTACACAATTTCGACTGCAGCGCGTCTCGGCAGGAGTTTTTTGTCTACTGAAGAACCTGCGCATAATATTTTTTGATTGACAAGCGCCCTGGCTCTGGCTCCGCGTCTGCTGTTGTTGCTCTTGCTGCTGCTGGTTGACAACAACTAAATATGTAAAAACATATAAAAATAGAAGCATGCATGAAGGTAGAACTCGAAATGTGAACTTTCCACAGGCCCATTAGCATTTCTGCCACATATGGCAGGCAAATGGA